CAGCATTTTTGAAAAAAAATCACACTTGAAAAGTGTCCAGTGCGAAAAACCCAGCAGGGCAGGGAAGGCATCTTGGTAACCAGGTTCACAGAGGGTTTAGTGCTGTGCCCAACAAGCCCTGAGCTCAGCCTTGTACCTCGGTTATCTCGGGGCAGGAACTAGGCTTCAGAAGGGATAAGTAATAACGCTGTAAAGCAACTTCTCCCAAATAGTGAGTCTTTGACCATTTACATGTCAGGCACTGAGAACTTAGTTTAATAACTACTGGTCGTAGACACTTTGGTTTGTGCCAAGCATATGAAATAAAGCATTACTCTGCACAACAACCTTAGGGGTAGAATGTGTTCCCCATTTTACGTGAGAAAGATCAGTTACCTTGCCCAAATCACATTTGGGTGCTTGTGCCGTATTTGACCCTTGTCACATCTGACTTGAAACCCACACAAGTACACGGGTGCCCCAGGGATCAGAAGGCTGGTCATTCCTGGGTAGGACTCTAAGGAGTGGGTAGATGTTCCTCCTGTAATACAATTATGGCCCCACCACATCAACATTCAGTACGCTATTCCCCGCATGATCTCCAAGTTAGTCGCAGGCACCTGTCCTAGAGCTGAGAGGGGTCCAGGGACCTGAAGGTTAGCCATCACCTCAGGTGGTTCTCATCGGGCAAAGATGGAAGAGTCCGCTCAGGTAGCTCTGAGCAAGCCACGGTCTGTTCTGCAGAGCCAGCTGGTGCTCCCGGCAACCGCCCCTCTTCGGGGAGGGCACAGCCACCAAGGCCAGGGAGGGAGAATGCTTCTGTCCTAAGTGTGACTCCCTGTCGCTGAGTTCCCGAAAACTTCATCCCGCCCCACCCCCACGTGTCAGGGAGTCTGGTGAAGAGCTTCGGCATCCTGTGCTTGCCGGCACCGGCGTCCTCTCCGTCGGTGGAAACCACGTGGGATGTGAGAGGCCCTTCCGCACCGGGGGTTGCCCCATCCTGGGCTGCAGTGCGGACAACGTCTCCCACTCTGTGTGGCAGACCGGAGAGTGGGAATGGCTTCCAGAAAAGTCAGCCCGAGCAGGACACGGAATGGGCTGGACACAGTGATTACAACTCTGCTAAAAGGAATCTGTCAATGGACCGGTACTGGAAATGAATAAGCGAAAATGACACCTGTGTGATGCGGTGGTAATGAAGGAAATGAAAGCTTTTCTGTCCTCTATTTTTTAATCTCTCTGTGATGTCATTATGCAGGGTGGGGCAAAAGTAGGTTTTCTGTTGTGAGTACGTGAAACACAGGGTTCATTCTTGTATTATTATTTATTAATGATTGTGTTGTCTTCCAGATGAATAACTGTAAACCTACTTTTGCCTCACCCTGCATAGACCTACAAATAAAGGTATATTTGTAAAGTTGCTTAGTGTAGAAAATGCTTTTCTTTAAACATTTCTGTTATGTAAGTCACTTTAGTTACCATGTTGGTTTTGTGGAAAAATTGTAGAAACTAAGAATAACCATGTTGCCTAATAATCACGAATATTCTGAGTAAACTCAACCCTGGTCTCAACACCAAGTCCCAGATCACGGGGACTCACGCCTTTCCGTGGACGTCCAGGAAGGCGGAAGAGCACAGAGGCGAACCTGGGCTTTGGAGTCCGGAAGACATGGGTTCAGAACTTTCTAGTTCTGTGATCTTAGGCAAGGTATTTACCTTAAGGCACACCTCACACCTTCCTGCAGAATAACTGAAAGCTAATCAGGGCCAAAATGTATTGAGAGCTTTCTATAAGTCAGGCTCTATTTAAATGGATTTTTATTTTACTCCTCATCTTTATCTTAAGGCAGAGGAACGACTTTTATCCTGGTTTCGCAAATGAGAAACCTGAGTCCTAAAGGGCAAACTTACCTGCCTGGGGTCCATCAGCCAATTAGGGCTAGAGTTCAAATTCAAAGGCAGGGAGGGTTTGACCCTAGGACATGCATGCTCTTAGCACAACCTTATCCTAACTTCCGTGGGGCTGGGAAACAGAATCCAAAGGTTGCTGGGAGGATAAAAGTTATAATGTATTTAAAACGTTTGGCACAGTGTCTGACAATAGTAAGCGTTTACCACGTGTGAGCTATAGCCTTGTACTGTGTATCAGAGGCTGCAGGAATGGAGCTGTAGAGCTCCTTGGATGGATTAGTCTCTGACTTATGCGTTTGTTTGTCATGTCTGCCTGTCCTTGAAGGGATCCCCTGCTTACCTCCCTGCCCCGCTCTAACGCAGGTCTCTTCCAAGCTGTGTAATTGGGCAAAGAAGACAAGCTTCCCTGATGGAAGCCGGGAGCGGGGAGGGGTAGGCGAAGGTGAGCTTCAACTGCAAGGGCCTGAGATAACTCTGAAGCGGTAAACAATGCGAAGAGAAAGTACGCAGGAGCCATGTCCTCATTGCTTCCTCTTTGCCTCTATTTTAGGCTGCAAATAAAAGAAAAACAAAACTGAAAACTGATCCCATTTCTTTCAAACTCTTGCTGCCTCTGTCCGCTGAAGCCATTGAACCAAGATGCAGCGGCCTTCGTGGGGATCTGGCGGTTTGTGCTCGCGGTGCCTGACCTTGGAAGAAGGGTCAGGAACGTGACCTGAGTCTGACTGTGAGCGTTGCAGGAGGAGAAATTCAGCTTTTTCTAGAACAGCCAGGAGGGTCACCGGGAACTGACAGATGTCAAGTAGAGGAAACAGGGGAGCCACTGTCTTCACTCACAGCGAAGGCCACTGCTCTCCAGAGAGGAGAACGTGCTGGAGGCCGCTGAGAGGGGACATGAGCAGTCTTGGCCCTGGAGGGTATTTTCAGAGTATTGATGCATCTCAAAGCTGAGGGGAGCACATCAAGGACTCTGTTTCCATGTTGCGTTTACTCAGCTTGGACACTTAGTAGGCATGGGCCTTTCAGAAGGGTAATTTCTCTGTACCTCAGTTTACTTATCTATAAAACTGAGATAATGTATATATACCTCACAGAGTTGTGAGGATGTTTGCAAAGCATTAGCAAATAGTAGGAGGTTATTGTAATAGCTCAATAAATTGTAACATACGGTTATTATAAATTTTGTACTTATTTCAATTTGAAGCTTCAGGAAAATAATTTTATGTTTGGTTTCCTCAAAACCTCGGATAAGCTGGGGCAGCTCAGCTTCATAGAAAACCTGGTTTATATCTATACTTCCTCCTTTTTTCTTTTTTTAAAATATATGTTACTGATTATGCAATACCGTTGTCCCAATTTTTCCCCCTTCCCTCCTCTTTTCTTTAATGGGTTTCTCCATGCCACAGTTTCTCTTTAAAAAAAAGAAGAAGAAGAAGAAGAAGAAAAAGAGGCAGCCCTGGCCAGGTAGCTCAGTTGGTTAGAGCATCATCCCAATATGCCAAGGTTGTGGGTTCAATCCCCAATCAGGGCACATATAAGAATCAACTAATGAATGCAAGAACAAGTGGAAAAACAAATTCATGTCTCTCTCCTTCCCCCTTCCCTCTCTCTCTAAAATAAATTTTTAAAAAAGTCCTGATGATCGTCAGAGTCACCCTGTTTTGTTCTGAGATAGTAACCTGTATCAGTTTTAAGTGATCAGCATTTCTTTTTTCCCTACATAATATTAGGGTTACATAATTCATGCTTCTACCTGTAATTCCTCGAGTTAAGTTCTTCTGATGTCCTGGGTTAGGGTGATAAGGCTTGATTTTACCCTCCATCCAGAGACAGCATGTTCCAAGCCACCTGTTTCTGGGAGTCTAGTGCATCTTTTTCGCCATCAGGACCCAACATCAGTATTTTGTTCCCTTATTTTAGGCAATAAATCTATATGCCGTCAGGTACAGTGATTAGGGGTTTTCTATGCACTTCCCATCAGAACCAATGTGAATAAGGCGAATCTTTGGTTTGGTTACTCTTTTGATCCAGTAATCTCTTCTCTGGGGATTGATAAATATACCAAAGAAAGAAAAGGTTGTAAGCCTGCATATGGACCTGGTTTAATTTCAATAGTGTAAAATTGCTAGTGATGCAAGTTAATAGTGGGATGCTTACTGCAATTTTGTATACTCTAGCTGGGACATTGTACAGCCATTAAAAATGATCATTTTGAAGACCATGCTACAACATGAGGAAATGCCGGCATTAATCAGCTACCGCCGCAACACAAACAATCTTGAAATCTCAGCCATACCATAAGGAGCATTTATTTTTCTCTTATGCATTGCACATCAGCTGGGTTTTCACTAATCTAGTTGGGATCCATCAAACTTGGTTCCCGGTCATGAGTTGAGTTCAAAACTGCTTCGCATCTCTCATCCTTCAGTGACTGCAAGGCGGCCCAAGGCATACTCTTCACATGGCAGTAGCAGAAGCGCAAGAGAGCAGACCTAATGCTGAAATATGCAGAGCCTCCTGCACCCATCATAAGTACTGACTGATGCCCTCTTCTAGAGGAGGTCAAGTTCTGAGACTATAAAACTTGAGACCCAAAGCTAGTACGCCGTGCCAACCAAGGTGCTTCCCTGAGACACCCAGTCAAAATAAGCAGCCCTGAAGGCACATTACCTCCCACCCCCAAATAGGCCAGCAAGTGCGGGTGCATTAGAAACACTGGGAGATGGAGGTGTAACACAGGCTGCGTTAAGAGAGTAAGTCAGGATGTCTCATGGAACGCCTTGAAAATTGGCTTGGTTTAAACACTGCAGGGACTCACTGAGGATACATTAGCAGGGAATGTCATAAAATCAGTTCTTACTTTGAGGAGAACATCTCTGGCTGACAGTATGAAACCAGATGCAGGGGACCAATTATAAGTCTGTTGTAATTGTACATGGAGGAGATGAAGTGGACTGGGAAAAGGTCAGTGAGAGACATTTCTGGGGCTCTCTGCCACACTGGCTGTGCCTTGATTTCCTCATTTGTAATAAGTGAAAAGAGGTAACTGCCACCTGCCTGGGAGAAGGGACTCTGCTCCTTCTGGCTTCCTGCATTGTTTGAAATAATGTTCAGGAAGCTGCCCTCTTTTCATAAAGCAGGTAGAGGTGTTTAATGGCTCTTGAGGCAAAGCAGAGCTTGTGAGTTTCCTCTGACAGGGCACACTCGGGACTAAGCCCAAACACGATATTCCTCTGCAGGCCTGAAAACTGCTGAACGCTGTCTAAAATGATGTGATTGCCCCAAACGCCAGAGGCCTGGCTGAACACAGCTTCTGTTGCTCTGTGGGTCTCAGTTAATTCCATTGCTTTTAGCAGTGCAAACTCATAGCGTCCTCTGTCCTCCTCTCTCCTGCACAGAATTGCTATATCTTTGGGCAGATAGCCACACTGGAGCAGGCTATGACACCGATCTGCCACGTATTTTGCAATCTGTTCCATTGTCAGGTTAGTCTCTGTCTCACACACCCCAGGAAGAGCCTGAGCACGCATTGCTTCCTCGTAGGCAGCTTCCCTGAACAATGCCAGTGTGTCCAGACAGGAGGTGGAGGGAGGGTTTTCTTTGATCTTTTTCATTTCCTGTTTCATAACCCTTGCTATTTCCAGAGAACAGTGGATCCCTTTGGTGATTGCTTTACGAGGAAACTGAGCAGATGGAGGGGGAAGGCCACTGACATTAGCATGGTGGACTTGGAAAGGGTCCAGAAAGATCCAGAGAACCCCGTGGTGAAGGTTTTCACTTCTCGCTCCCCTCACCTTTGGATGGGTGATACTCTTAGCCTTCATGTACCAATCACCGTACTTGCTGCAGAAATTCTCAGTCTCGTCCATCACTATGTGTTTAACCTTTAGGAATTCCCCTCCCATGAAGGTTTTCCGGGTCACAGCTCGGCAGGTGGTATGTTGGCTGTAAGCATGAAAGAGAGAATAGATAAGCTTTCAGGAAACACCTTGTACTCATTATTCTCTGGATTGTCATGGGAGGCTACTTTTCATTTGGAGGCTGATTAATTGATTCAATTGTGAACTGAATACTACCAAATTGCTCTACTACAAGTTACCAGACAGAGAGAATACATACTTGCAAAATCAGCTCTTCAAGGTTATCTAGTTAAACCTGAATGTAAAACTTTTGGAATAATTCCAGGTAGCCCTGGCTGGCGTGGCTCAGTTGGTTGGAGCACCATCCTGTAGACCAAAACGTTGCAGGTTCAGTTCCTGGTCAGGGCACATACCTGGGTTGCAGGTTCAATCCTCAGGCAGGGCGCATACTAGAAGGCAACTGATCGATATTTCTCTCTCACGTGGATGTTTCTCCCCCTTCCCTTCTATCTAAAATTAATTAGCACGTCCTTGGATAAGGATTAAAAGAGAAACTTAGCCTGTAGCACAGCTGGCAATACCCTTCATAATATGGCTCCTGTCTCCTTTCCAACTCCATCCCCATCCCCCCACCTCCTCCGCTCCGGTGAAACTTACCCTTCTGATTCTCAAGTGCTTTCATGTCTTTGCACCTGTTCTGCCCTTTGCCTAAAAAACCCTCATTTTATTTACTTTCCCTATGGACTTAAGAGTATGCCCAACGATCTTCTTTGTTGGGGTTGGGGGAGGTATTTGCTGACCAAACTTCGGCCCAAGTTAAGATAAGCATGTCTTTATTATCATATTAATTATACAATATGCACATTGCTTATTTTATTTTTTTGTCTCCCTTACTGGGCTTTATGGCCAAGTCTTCAATATGTTTTCCCTGCTAACAATAAATGTACACAGTCCCTAGCGTACACACAGTGCTCAAAAAGATTTGTTGAATAAATAGGAAAACCAAACCAAAACTTAAATGAATTTTGCCCTCATTTGCTGGATTATAAAGCAACCAATTTCCTTCACTAAAGTGAAAGCTAAAAATTTAAATCAGGAGCAAATTTGCATGTTTTCTAAAATTATTGATTCAGAACAAGTCAAACAAATGAAAATATTTTATAAATGAAATCAAATGGTATGTAAATTCAAATTTCTACTATGTAGAATGTCTAATTAACCGAATTACCCTATGACTATAAAGTATTAAGTATCAAGCACAATGTTGGTCTAAAGCAAGATAGATTCATTCCCACTTTCCTTAAATTTAAAGTCACCAATGATGGTGAAAGATGTTTCTAGTTATATAAATTTAAAGTTATGCATAGTTGGCTAATTTATGATGAGGTGTCAAAGCCTGAAAATAGCAAAGTACCCATTTATAGCTCCACCAGCTGATTACATGTAAATGTTTGGGTTTTTGCATTTACACAGTTAAGGCACTGCAAAATCCTTTTTTAAAAGAAAGATTTTATTTATTTACTTTCTTTTCATATTTTTTTATTGTTGTTCAATTACAGTTGTCCCCGTTTTCCTCTCATTGTTTTCCCCTGCCCTGCCCACCACCCTATACACCGCTATTTATTTTCGTTTTAGAGAGAGGGGAAGGGAGGGAGAAAGAGGAGAGAAATATGTCACCTCTCACATGCCACCATCTGAGGACCTGGCCCGCCACCCAGGCATGTGCCCTGACTAGGAATCAAACCGGTGACCTTTTGATTCACAAGCCAGCACTCAACCCACTGAACCACACCAGCCAGGGTGCAAAATCTTAACTAACATAAATTCCTTTTCTGATACTATTGAAAAGACTGCCTAAACACATTTATTGTGTTTAGTTAGTGACACACTTACGCCACGTAATCCTTTAAGGAGTCATGTTCACAAACATAGAGGATCTCTTTTGCTTTGCAGTGGAATAGGTCCTTAATTTTCTCCATGATCTTTACGGCTAGGGCTGTCTTCCTTGTGCCCGGAAAGCAGTGGACGAACAGTTCTCGCGTCTCCTGAAGGCTCTCTGAAAGCAGCTCACACTGCTCTGCTATGAGCAAGTTGAAAAACTCACAGCCCAGCTGGTCACTCAGAAGGGAACTAGAGCACAGCAAGACCACGACCAGGGCCTGTAGCAAGTCTTCCATCTCCTCCTTATTCGCAAGCTGGTAGGACTGGGGGTAGTGCACAGGGACTTCACAGGGCCTATCCTGTGTGCCGGGCAGGTGCGTCAGCCTCGGAATAACACACACTTTCCCCGTGTAACCGCCCAGCGTTCCCAGTTTCTGCTTTAGCTGGCGGGCAGTGTTCTGGGCATACTCAAGCCCTTCAGTCCCAGCGGGGTGTATGAAGACCGTATAGAGTACCAGGGGGCTGTCAACTGCTATTAGGAGAGCATCACACAGGACATTCTGGTCTTTCCTGAGGCCAATGTCACTAGCCCAGCTTCTAGAAAATAGCACAATCCCCTGAGAGCAAGGACGTGTCTGAGTCTTCATTAATTCTTCCAGTTCTTTATGGTCTGAGAAGAGCTTCTTACAGAGGGATTCTGGTTTAAACTGTATCCCTTCCTGTGTCACTGAAAAGCCAAGGAATGGAAGTTACTAAAATGTACAAAAGCATATTGTGAATATTCCCTGCAATATCATAGCAAGAAATGAATCGAGCCATGAACTTTCTGGTTCAAGTCGGTTTCCTTGTCTGCAAAGAAAGCACCCCCTCTTCGCAGGCCAGGGCTGTGCCGTTCCCTCTGCTGGCAGCTGTCATCCAGCGGAGGGCAGCCAGGGAGGGGTCTTCACAGAAGAGCCCCCTAGCACTGTCTGCTCAACCACAAATGCTCCACTACTGCTAGGAAGTCACTACTTCCTGGGAAGGGTGTGTGTGTACCTGATGCTTTGAGGGAACTAAGAAATTTCCTTTAAAACAGTGATGCTTAACATGTGGCAGTTTTAACTGCCCCCTCCCGGGGCATTTAGTAATGTCCAGAAATTTTCTGATTGTCAGAGCTGGAGGGGTGCTACTGGAATCTAGAGGGTAGAGGCCACAGATGGTGCTAAACATCCTACGGTTCAGCAAGCAGCCCCCTCAACAGAGAATCGCCTGTGTTTAGTTAGTGACACACTTATTAATCTCAACCCAAATCTTCAGAGTTGAGAGACTTTGTTATGGAACTCCACAGCTCACCTCCAGGTTTGGACAGATTTGGACTAATTGCTGTCAGTTCCTCTCAATGTAATTTTAGGGGGAAAAATAGCCCCCTTAGCTGAAATGGAGAAGGAAATACCTGGAAACAGACGTTGTTGTAGAGCATCCTTAAATTCCAGGACTTTCAGGAGATATGATGGGCTCCCTGGCGCAGATGAAGCTCGTGAAGTCAGGGGGAGGCGGCAGCCTGCGGTCAAACTGGAGGGCGCTAAACAAATAAATACGCGGAGAGATGTTTCAGACCAAAAAGAAAATGAACGTTTTAATTCTGTGTGTCCCTCTTCCCCCACCCCGCCCCCGTTGACTGGTGGTTTGCATCGGGCCAGAGCTGCTCTCACACTTTCTGTGACTCAAACAGTCCACGTTTTGTTAGGAAAGGACGTCTGGGCCCTCCTGCAGGGTCCCGCATCATCCAAGTCACCGTGTGACTCATCGCGAGCAAGTCAGTTCACTTCTCTCTCTCATGCCAGCGTGAGGGGAGCCTGAATTCCTTCCAACTCTAATAGTCTGATTCCAGGTCATTTCTATGAGGAAAAGCCTTCTCAAAGGGGTAGAGTCAGAAGAAGTTAAGCACAGTATATATTTTTTATATTGTTATAGTTGTTTTAAGTCCCAATCCAAAGTTCAGATGGAATAGAAAGTGGCAGGGTCTCTAGTTTGGGGAGTCTGTGTGTGCGTGTGTACACTAAAACAAATTTAGAAGAGAAAGAATAATCCAATAAAATCACTCGAGTCTTGATCCAAGCTTCTTTTATCAAATTTGGAACACATTAACCATGAAGGCAAACTGATACGCTTTGTTCAGGCTATAAGTCCTCTACTAATTGCTTAGAAATCACCAGAGCTGATGCTGAGCAAAACTGTAGGGGAAGTGAAAACTCCAGGAGTCCTCCTCCCCCACCGCCTTTCTCTGCCCCCGTCTGTCCTTTTGCATCAGCTTTTCCCCACTTGGTGGTGCCCCAAGCCCAGAGATTGAACCTATTAGCTCCTGCCGTTCACTGAAATGATTCAAAACTGTCAACAAGCTTCCCTTGAGGGAATTAGTGGAGAGTCATTCTTAAACAGCGTTTCTCGGAAATGTCCTTAGCATAGGACTGTTGAAGAATCCTTTTGACTGGAAATATCAGCCTGCAAGGTTTTCAATGGGGCTTTACAGAGCGCAGACTGGGACTGTCACCGGTCCAGGGCGGACGGCGTGCTACAACTTCCCCAAAGTAGACTAAAACCCGAGCATTTCTTAACCTCAAAGAGTTCATGTGGTCTCTCTTTGGAATTAAAAATATTAGAAAAAGAACCATGTAATGGGAGAGCTTTTAAGCAAACCAGCTTCCTGTTCTTTAAGTAAAATATCAGACCCAAAGGCCTTGGAAGGCAGAGAAGGAGGTTCCTCCCTACTAACTGAATAATGACTTCTCTTCTGCTTTACCTGGCTGAATATCCAGCATCATGGCCACCCAGTTCTCCACCGTCAGCCTGGTGACAGAGTTGTCCTCCACGATCCAGGAGTCCGGGGCCTCTGTGAACACTACACAGCAGAAGGGCTCCACGCGAACCACGCAGACGTAGCCATACAGGACATCTTTCTGGTACACGTCCAAGATTTTGGTAGTGAAATTCACCCCTGGTTTTTCATGGCAGAAGTGGAATACAGGCAATTTTTTAATGCAGTTTTCTATTTCCTTTTTTAATAAGTCTGGGTTCACTTTTTCTCTCTTACATCCAAACACTTCTTTGCTCTTATCGTCTACCCCAATAATGAGGTATCCCCCTTGGGTGTTGGCAAATGCAGAAATGTAATGAGAAAGCATTTCTTTAATCCTAGGGACAATCTTTTTGGTGGTGAACCTTTTAAACTCCACATGTGTTGACTCAGTAAAGTTGAGTTTCTCTTTATATATGAGTTTGTCCTTCTGAAGAAAGTTCCAGGCAGACGTCCTCATATCTTCCTCTTCCTGGATGTTTGTGTCAAGAACTCTCTGGGGATGCAGCTCCCTCGCCCTCGGCCTTCCTCTCTGGGCTCTCGACTGCTTCAGTCTGAGAAGCGCCAGGGCACTGCTGGCGCTCAGGTTTATGGCAGAAGTCACATCTCTCTGATACAAATTGGAGCGCAAGCTGCAAATCCTTAGGGGGAGGCTGAAAACATCCGGACTCCATGACTTTACAAAAATCAGGAGATTGTGCCCTTGTTGCATGTAGTCAAGGTATTTCTGTGAACCTGAAGGAAGGAGCTTTTGAAAAGAAGTTTCCAGGTCCTGCCCCAGCCCATGGCATCGGTAACTGTAGGTTTTATCATCAATCTTCACTTTGATCACACCTCCTCCGGAATTTAACAGTGCACACGTGGCTTGGATGATTTTAGAATTCTCAGTTCTTTTCAAATAGTTATTGGTCATCTTCCTCCTTTTCTCTTCTCCTAAAGTCGCTGTGCCCATCTCTACGATGATCTCAGGATAGAACGTTTCCATATTGGTCTGGAGACTTTCACCTCAGCAGCCCCTCTGCGCTCAAAACAATGATAGAAAGTGGTTCCGATAAATAAGCAGGGCAGAAATGTCATTTCTATATTAACAAGAATTCCTGAGACTACAATATTTTTTTCAAAGCTGTAGATTATTGCATATACATTTATTTTAACATGGAAATAATCTTTGATATTGCTGTTTTCTAACAACTTCATCAAGATCTTTAGCCTTTCCAGCATGAATGGGCTCAGTTAAAGGTGAATGCTTAATATTTTGCCATAATGGAAAGCTTACAGTGCTGAATTTTTTTTTTAAATTTAAAATCAGGAAGTGCCGTCAGTGATCCCAGATCTTATAAAAGTCATGGGTTGAAAAAAAGCATGGGTTGGAACAGAAGTCAGAGCGAGTTACTAGAGGCTGTGCAGAGATAGACACTGAAGTCAAAAACACTTCTATTTATAATTTAAAGGGGAAAGAATGGGGATGATAGTGAACTACGAGAGTTCAGTTTCATAGTCTATGTGGTGTAAATATCTTACTATAAAAACAAGCATAAAACTTAATATTCTTTATGTGTTATTTTGTACATTTCTAAAAGCTTTATTGTACTCCCAAAAGACTGTCCATTGATACCAAGTGCAGAATTCTGTTAATCTCCTCAAACATTCTTCTAAAAGTACATTTCTTCATACACAGTATGATAGAGGAGCAAGTGTTTTTCTGCCCTGTGCTGCGAAAACCTGTAAGACTTGGGAAAGAACAGGACCTATGAGACATAGTTATCAAATTGTGGTGAACCTCCTTTTGCTTCAAGGTCGGAGAACAGCCATCTAAATTGAATCAGACACGGCTCCCTTAGCTTTAGTTAACTGCAAAAATAAAATGTTTACTAACCCAAACCAAAATTCTCCCTCTGGAAGTGTTTATTTCTTCTGTGTAATCTTTGCAAAGTAGAGGCCACGTGGGCGCTGTTTATACCCATGGAGAGGGAACTAACAAGTATCCAACAGGACCCTCCTCTGCCATAGTTTGCTCTTGGTTGCCTTCTCACTTCTACCAAGTAAACCAGGACCAACATGATTAACTTTTTCTCATATGTGAGTATCTTCTGATGGTAAATATAAATGTCTGGCTCTTTAGAGAAACTTCTAATAACATTCTATTCATATTGTAGACTCACAGAACTGTTGGAAGGAACTTTAAAGATTTCCAGGTCCAATGATCTATCTGATTGATTCTTAAATCCCCTTTGTAATATTCCCAACTCCCAAGAAACTACTTTCCAGCAAATGCTCGAACACCTCCAGCGATGAGCAATTCATTACCTATCAAGTTAGTCCCTTCTATCTTCTGACAGCTCTGTTAGAAGTGGCTTTCTCATTTTAAACTACATTATGTCTCCCTAACATTCCCACGTGCTGAGGTTCACAGGACAAATCCAACTGCTTTTTGAAATGGTACAACTGTCCTATCATAACTGGTAACAACTGTGATAAAGATAGTTGAGATCCTTGCTCCACGTAAACAGCCTTTCCACTTTTCCCAAATCTCTCGCTCATCCCCTTTGTAAGTGTCTCCTCAGCTACTCTTTTACCACGCCCTTCGTGCCCTCAGACATAAACTGCATCTAAGATGAGATGGGTGAAGTTTTTAAAAATTAAATAAATTTTTTTTTTTTTTACCTGATGCTCTTGCTTTTCTGCCTGCTGTTTCAGTCCCACATCTGGCTTGGGTCTGAGTGTTTGCTTTCTGTCACGGTCCCTGCTGCCCTTTGATATCAGCCTGGGAGGAGCAGGAACCCCGCCAGACTGCCCCAGTCCTCACAACATTGCCCCACTGAGGAAGGCTGATAAGGACCCAAGGAAAGCCTATGACAGAGAAGATTAGCAGGCTGGGCCTGGCTTCTGGGCATGAATTAGGTAGTGAGGGGAAGATTCAGAAATTTTTGAGTGAGTCTCCAGGGCTAAACTTCCCACTTCTAAGGGACTGGCATTATTTCTATACATTGTCCAAGCACTTCCTGTCCTGGTTAATTTTCTTTCAAAGCTCTACATTTATTTTAAACTAGGCTGCTCAGTATATAGCCATTATGAGCAATATTAACTTATTCCATTACCTTCCAAGTTTTTCTTTCTGTTCTTACTACTTTTATTCTCTGTTTCCTATTCTTCCTTATTTGGAGGGGGGGGGCACAAGACCCAGAAAATTGCTCATTGATGAAGCTGGCTGTCTCTGGATGAGAGGACTACAGATGGTTTTCATTTCATTTCCTTTCCTTTAAAAAAAAAAAACTTTTATGTATATTCTAAATGGTCTACAATGAACATAAATTGTTTTATAATTGAAAAATAAATAAACAGACGAGAGATAGTTATCTTATTTGGAAATGCTGGTTAAACTGGATAAAGGTTCTTGAAGTACCTGTATAATAGTAATTATTATTTTAATTATGTTAATAATTAATCATTATGTTAATCGATATGTTAATAATTAACATAATTATTACTATTATTATCGTTACTATCATTATTGTTATTAATTTTTATTATTGCTATTACTATTATTATTAACCTGTAAATGTTACCTTATGAGGAAAACAGGTCTTTGCGATGTGGTTAAGTAAGACTCTTGGGATGGGGAGATTTTCCTGGATTATCCGGGTGGGCCCTAAGTCCAGTGACAAAAGTTTTCCCAAGAGAGAGGCAGAGAGATACCTGATACACACAATGGGGAGGAGGCCGTGTGTGACCCAAAGAGGCAACGATTGCGGTGCTGTGGCCACGACTGAAGAAATGCAGTGGCGGCCGGAGGCTGGAAGAGGCAGGAATGAGTTCTCCCCGACAGCCCCCCCGCCCCCACCCCAGGGAGCACAGCCCTGCCGACACCTTGATTTGTGCCCAATAAAACTGGTGTCAAACTCCTAGTTGTGGGAAAATAAATGTCTGATTTCTTAGGCAACAAAGTTTGTGGTAATTTGATAAGCAGCCATAAGAAACTAACATACTTGTCTCCCGCTAAATTGAACCATCAAATAATTCTGTGTTTCTACTTCAATTTGTTTATGATGAAACGACATTCTCTGTTGAAATCTTAGCTCTGGCCCTTTCTAGAGTTGAGGCTTTGGATAAACTAATCTAAGCCTCAGATTCCTTCTGTGTCAATTGGAGATAATAATAGTGCCTTCTCCATACAGTTGTGAGAATAAAGTGAGATGATGAACATAAAGAGCTTAGTGTGGTGCCTGGAATATAATGTCAGCTTTTCATTCAATAATCAATTACTAAGCATCTACAGAGTTCCAAACATGGTGCTGCGCTCTGGGGCTACACGTCAAAATAAAAACTTTATAATTGCAAAAAAATAAAAAAAGAAAGAAGAAAGGAAAGAAGGAACAAACCCTATGTCCATCCACATAAGAACACATAAACAAGTTGTGGTATTCCATAAGGTTTAAAAAAAGCAGCAGCCATAGTGATAATTAGCAAAATGTTACTAGGGGTTCCCTTAGCTATTCATAAACTTCACACCAGATTTGCAGGTGGGAAAAAAAGCAACTCTCAGAAACCTAATTATAGGTCATTTCTGAATGTCCACACTGAGGCCTGCAGTTGGCTTACCTCGTAGTATCTGCCCTTTTTCTTTAATTAAATTTTTTTCACAGTTTACATTCAATATTATTTTGTATTAGGTTCAGGTGTACAGCATAGTGATTAGACAACCATATACTTTAAAAAGTGACCCCCGCCCTGATATTTCAAGTACCCATCTGGCACCATACATGGTTATTACACTATTATTGGCTATATTTTCTATGCTGTGCTTTACATTCCCATGGCTATTTTGTAACTACCAAACCAATCTGTACTTCTCAATCCCTTCACCTTTTTCACCCAATCGCCCAACCCCCTTCCCTCTGCCAATCATCAGTCAGTTCCCTGTATCTATGAGTCTGTTTCTGTTTTGTTCATTTATATTGTTCTTTAGATTCCACATATAAGTGAGATCATATGGGATTTGTCTTTCTCTAACTGACTTATTTCACTTAGCATAATACCCTCTAGGTCCATCTATGCTGTCACAAATGGTGAGATTTCATTCTTTTTTTTATAGTCACTTATTATTCATACTTTTAAATCTCTTCTTCAAGACGATGCTTTAACATTTCTTGCAATACTGTTTTGGTGGTGGTGAACTCCTTTAGCTTTTTCTTGTCTGGAAAGCATTTCCTCTGCCACAGCCCTCCCTAATTTAGGCTCTTATTAGCTCTCACTGGACCACTGTAAGCCCTTACAATAGCTTCCCTCTGCCTTCCTTCAATCTAAAGTTGCATTTTGAATTTTCTAAAGCACATCTCTGATCTCCTAACATCTTGGGCTCTGAAATTATTAAACCTCTCACTTTCTCCGGCGTAGTCGGAACTGCACAGCCAATAAGCACCGTTCTTAACAAAGCTTTGACCTGTCTTTCAAACCTCCTACCACTCCCTTTCTTTAACACTGTCATTGATCCTCAAACTTTGGCGTGACTCAGGATCACCCATAGGGCTAATATTAAAAATATGCACGCCTGGGCTCCAACCCCAGAATATTTTGTTTTTGATGCTGGAGGACATCTGTATTTGATGCTGGTGTTTCTAACTCAACGATTTTTGAGAAACTCTACCCGTTTCAACTTTACCTAAATTTGGTCAGCTTTCTCACTTAATTCGGGGATGAAATCATTCCTTCTCCCAGAATCTCCTAATTCTGAAACCCCACCCGTCTGATCAAGTGCCACCTCTTCCAAGAAGTCTTTCCTGCTCTCCCTCACACTTCTGATATTTAGCTGCACTTTTATTGCGGCACCTCTTGCTTATTTAGGAAGCGTCCAAGAGCCAGTAAGTTCCTCCTGGACGAAGACGGACATTTTCATCTAAGTCTCGTCTAAGACCTTTAGCTGTCACGCGGGAACCCGCACAAACGACAATAAACAATGTTGGATCACTCAGTCAATAGATCTTCCCCAAAACGCATGGCACAACTGCCTGAGACACCCTTTCCCCGCTGTGAAACAAGGCACGGACAAGACCACTCGGAACGAGAGCCCTGCTGAGGCTCGAGGGCGGGAGGGACCTCCTCCGAGGCTGTAGAGCGACGACCGTAACCCTTAAGATCTAGCTTGCTAGGCCAAGCAGCAACGGAAAAGGCGGTTCCATCCTCCAGCCCGCTACACCCCTGACGTTCGTCTCGCCCTCCGATTGGCTGTTTCTTGCACCAGCCCACCGCCACCACGTGATCCGCTGGCCGCCGCGCCATTGGTTGTCCGGCGAAGGCCGCACGAGGCGGTGGGAATCCGGCGGGCCCCGAGGCGGGTTGGGGGGACCCGTCTGGCCCGGGAACCAGCACCGTCAGCCTTCGCAGGTCCGGGCCAGACTCTTACAGAGTCTAGATCGCAGGAGCATTAGGAGTTCCGGAAGAGGGTTTAGGACTTCTGCCTGCGTCTCAGGTGTGAGCCCTGGCTCCGGCCTTACTCGTGTTTCCCCGCGAGGACGGCTTTTCTCAGTCATTCTTGAAGGTGGTGGGGTTTGGGCCATATTATTTTATTTTTGAGGGTCCACTCTGTGTAAGCATGGGTTTGCCTGCGCGGGGCGCCGTGCAGAGCGCCATGAAGGAGACGCTGGGAGAAGGAGTGTTTAGAGATGCTTGCGGTATGGTCCTTACCTACGTGAAGCGTAGGAGGTAAGTGGGCTTTCTAAATTGTGCTGATGCTTTTATAATTTAGGATTTAGCGGGGAGGGTCATGTACTGACTGTGGTAAACGCTCATTTAGTGGGCCTCCTCCTATGCGCCATTCTGAGTGTAATGGATGCGAAGGCCAGAAAGACACAGTCCTGGTTCTTTAGGGACTCTGATGGGGCAGACGAGGAGGTGGGGGACCTGAGTAATTGGCGCGTGGTGCGTGCCTTCGTGGGAAAGGGTGCTGTTGGAGTCGGAGGAGGGGATGACTGATAGTTTGGGACCACTTAACAGAGAAAGTGGCATTTGAGTAAGGTTTTAAAACCGTAATTAGGCGTTCTCCAGGTTGAAAGGGGTGGCGAAGGCATTCCGGATGGCGCAAAGTGTATTAAAGAAGAAAATTAGGAAAGTGTGGTTTGTGTAGAGGGTGATGAAACTAAGGCTCAAGCGTAACACCTGTAAAACAGGCCCTTGGTTATAGTCCCCCGTCCCCGCCGCCCCCCCCCCGCCCCGCCTTCATAGAGCTTAGTTGCTGAATGGCTAACACAAACCAGCAGTTGTCAGTTTTACAGAATATCGACCTATTGACAATGTGAGGTGGCTGAAGGAAGCAGGTGGTGTCTCCAAAATTGTTATTTAGATACAATACCATGCTGAAATGCTGGGAAGGGTGACATGTGATCCTAGTAATTTTCCATGTCAGCGATTGTATATCACCAGGTGCCATTTAAAATGAATGATATGCAACCAGCTTTTTCAGAAATTACTTATTCAGGTTGTGAATTACCCAGGCTTTACATTGCTTCCTTTATCTTGTCCATGCCCTGGAGAAAAATGAAAGTATACCTTATATTTAGCTAATTGTGGAAAAATATAAATCTGGTCATCAGACCTTAGTTCTCTTAGTTCTCTTTCTAGCTCTGCTGTTAATTTGCTCCGGACCTTTGGCAAATCATAGCCTCTCTGGGTCTTGGACTCTTAAGATATAAGATTCTGGTATAAAAAAAATGTATGACTACTTTTTATCTTTGTGTGCAGAATTGTACATTATATATATTCAATATATATCAAATAATATATATAATATATAATATATCAATAATATATATAATATATAATATGTATTATATTATATAATATAAAATATATATAAAAATATATATCAAATAATAATATATAAATATTATATATATTTATATATATATAAAATGAACTGGAGTTTATAAATGAATTTAGTAGGAACTCTTTTCTAAAGCTTTTGCTTTAGGAACTAGGTAAGTCCCTCGACAGGCATCCCTGAGATTTTCCTCATGTGTATTTTCAGTTTTTAAACTGTAAATGCTTACCCATTCGCCTCTGTATTTCACACAACAAAAAATCTCCCCCCAAATTTGTTCACCAGGATTAAACCAGAAGACAGAAGGTAAGATATTTATTGGAAGCCCACGGTTGCAACTTAAACTTATCTAAAAAGAAGGCTTTGTCTTTCCTCCATAGGTGAACCCAAGCTTTTTTGGAAGCGAGCACACCCCCGGGTAAGACGAGGGAGTGAAATGCCGCGATGCGATGATGAGTGAAGCGCAGTCTGACCTGGTATTGCCGCTCCTCGTTGCCGGCTCTGACCGGGGCGTGATCGCTTAATCTTCTCTCTGAGCTGATTCTTGTTGTGGGTTTCCCACATTGCTAGGTTCTAGCCTATTTGGGTACATATTTTATTACATATGTGAGTGTTTCTTTGATATTCTTTTCAATTTTACTGATACTTTCATGTTTTCTTTCTTAGGTGGAGCTGAAAACTCTGGCTTTGACACCTTCATGGATACTATGTTACTTCAATCCTAAATCTGGTTCAGTCCCCTTACTGACTTATTAAAAATGTTTTTTTTTTTTTTTAAAATTCACTATGGTATTTGCTTTGGTAAAACCTTGCTGTTTATCAAGAATTTTTGCAAATATCCAACATACTCCTTATGATACATGAAAGCGTTAATATTTTAAAATCCTTAGGATGTTCCGTTTCAGAATTTAGTTTATCACTTTTGTGCTGTTAGAGAATGTATGTACTTTGAATCGCTACAATGCATTAAAGTTTTGGAAAACTTCTATCACTGCAGAGGCATGTACAAAGTACTTTCATCCTTCCTCTTGTAGTCATGATGTTTTGAACCTGTATCTTTTCACCAACTTGCCAATCCAGGCATGAATTTTTCTACACAGGACAGGTGATTTTTGTAGTATTTCTAGTATAAGATATTTCAAACAAGACTGAATTCTTGCTGTTGGAATAGAGGGTTGCCCCCCTCAAGTGTTAGACTCGCAAAAAACCAAAATGTTAATACAAAAATACCCCAAAAAGTCAAGATGGTCTGAATGAAACATTTACTTTAAACACCTCAAGTAATCTTTAAGTTTCCAAATAATCATAACATGGAACAGTTCTTTGCCAAAATTATTTATTCTTAAAATTTAAGTGTTTCATAGAAACTTTAGTAATAGCTGGAATAATTCATGCCAGTTTAGCAAACTCTTTAACAGCAAGCAGAGCTTATTAAAAGATCCCTTCTTTACACAGTTAGATCGGTATTTTACTTCATATTTTCATTGCTTACTAGCGTTTTTCTTTCACACCGAAATCTTAAGACTGCTCTTTATGTTCACTCGACCCCTATTTCCCTTTAACCAATTTCCCAAGACAAGTATGGGTAACAAAGGAATCTTTCGAAGTTGATAAACTACAGCAGGTGTTACTTAACCAGTGGTCACAGTTTATAGAAGGAGCTACTATTGTTTTTCAAGTGTTTAATATAAAGAGCAAGCTCACTTTTCACATTGTTTGCAAACTAATAAAACCAACCTCTTCCTCATAGGCAGATAAACACTTTCTTTTCTAAAGAAGAGGCCTGCCTCCCCCTTACCATCCGCTTTATGAGGTCCAACTTGGGTTTCTTCTGAGAGCTTATACCTCTTTGTTCTTTAAGGAAAAGCTTCTGTACTGATTATCCTATTTTACCCACGTCTACACTGACCCTCATATCCCCCGCCAATCCCGATTCTCTTACTCTACTCAGCTTGGTCAGCTCTAAGTTGAGGTCTAGGCAGCAGGCTAGAAGGCTAAGATCAATGGTTATATTCTTTTAAAGACATCCACAGAGTTGTTTAAAATCCATGTAATTATGAATTGAGGCTAAGAAGAATCAAACAGCGCTGTGTACCATGCCGAAAACCAGCCCTGTGGCCTTACAGTGCTAATCCCTTTCAGTTGTCAGGGGAGTAAAGTTTAATGAGATGTTGTACTTCTGTTGGGTAACCTGTGATGGGACACGCTTGGTGACTCCTCACATAATTAAACACACAGCGGTAACAAAACACGTAGCCAGAGGTGGCGAGAACAGTATCATTCACCCGGGTTTTACGACACAGTGGGCACACAGTCTTCATTTTGGGTAACAGGGGAGAATCAGAATTGTAGTCGAGGTGTACAGGCGGCGGTGGGGTAGGCAGGGCAGTCAATGATCTGATGGTTTCTTGATTTTCAGAGGAGTACCACCACTCGAGGAACTGCAGGAAGAATACGCCCACGGAAAGGCCAGTAGAGAGAGATAAGGCAACACCGCCCACAGCCTTTTTCAGAGTTGACTTGATCTTCTCACTAACACTGTTGGAGAGTAGAACAAGGAGGCAAAAGGAGAAAGCTTATTTAGGTATAATCACAGTGACTAACACAAACAGTTCCAACATTTCATCAGAATCACCAATTCAGCCTGGGGATTGAATAGTTGCTAGACTGGCATTGTCTCCTTAAGGCTGTATTCTAAACGATCCTCTTTCTGACTTACAGTATTTTAAGAGCATAGGGGCTAAGCTTTGCTTTTAATGAGTAGGGTTTTATTTTGTGTTTTGAGAAAAAAGTGAGACATTGATTATATAGACCTCTGTGTGCATGCGCGCGCATGTGTGTAAGCTAGTATATCCAGAAAAAGAAACAACTCACTTAAAAATTGACTTAGCACAGTATTGAGGAATATGTATTTGAACTTGTAGGAGAACACGAACACTAACTAGAAGCAATAGCATCGTGGTTGAGAGCAGTCTTGAGAATTGCCTTGATCTGGCTTGAATCTCAGTTCTGCCACCTAGCTGTGTGGCCTTGGCAAGGTACTTCGCTTTTAGGGCTTAGTTTCCTCAACTGTTAAATGGAGCTAATGAATTTATTTCATTGAATTGTGATAAGGATTGAGGTAATGTACATAAAGCCAATACCTAGCTCAGGGCCTGGCCATTGCAACTGTACACAAAAATGTAGTAGTTATGAGGAGGTCAGTTATCAGGATGGTAATCCTTGTTTTATCAACACAGAATTTTTCTATGACTATGAAATAGCTCCAAGTGGACTGAGGTAGATGACTTCATAAAATTAAAGTAAGACTTTACAATTTGTTAATCAAAAATTTGGGGGAAGTGTTAAGTAAGGCCTTACCTCCTGGCTGGTTGGTGCCTCATGTTGGCTTCAGCTGGTTTGTGCTCCAAAGCTTGCATATCCTGAACCGTGAGTCGACCTAGCCGAACTCCAGCCAGCCTTAGTAATGGTGAGTGATGCTGAGCTTTTCCTAGGATGTATCGAAGTTGTTGTACAAGAAACCAGCCTTCCCAGGCCATGTTAACAAATGGATAGGCTGCCAGGAAGGCTCTGTAAAATTTTTTCCAGCGGGAAGAAGGGGGATGGATGGAATATTCGTCCTCTTCTCTCAGGCTAGAAACCAGCTTCTCCAGCTTCACTTTCAGATATGGAAGAAGAACCAGAAATATAATTGACTTCCAAAGCTGCTTCTTTGGGAGACCGGCACTGGCCAGTCTCTGAAGCTTGGGTGTGTCCTCCGTTACAATCCGCTTTAAGCCATAAAAGTTTTCAGAAAATGAGGCACTGGTTTTAGACAGATAATGCTGCTGGAGCAGAAGATCTAGCAAGGCAAATATTTCATCAAACCACCTCCAAAAGAAGCCGTAGCGGGCAGGATTTGATTCTGCAAGAACCTAAAGCCAAGTAAATTAATAAATGAAATTCATTCCATTTCACAGCTACTATGCCTCATATTTACATGTCCTCCCCCCCCCCCCCCCCCCCCCCCCGCTAAATTCTACGCTTTGAGATTCTTTTGCGGTCAACCCTATCCTTCCTGAAGTGCTGGGTATTCACTACAGGACTACACACAACAGGGACTCAATAACCGTTAAATCCTAGAATATAAGTAATATGCTAATTGGTCACTTCAAAGGCTACCAAATCAATTATTGGGTTGATTTTTAACCAGTCGTCCCTAAAACCATTTAAAGAATTAATGCCTTACCTTGACCACATGCTGAAGAGCAGGTCTCACTGCTGTCATTAAACTGTCCTGTGCTACCACCTCAAAGATGGATGGCTGGTCATCCAGCACGGAAGCAGTGGTGATGTGAGCCCCGTGCTCAGCCATAGTTTTCTGTGTGCACTGGGTTTCACTTTGCTCACAAGCTCTCTAGTAAGCATGAACCTGTCTGGGGTATCAAATGGACGCTCAGTCTTAGAAGAAATCTTTCTGCAGGATATCCGAAACTTTTAACTCTCAATTTTTACGTGAACTGGGGAAAAAAGATCACTTCTGGAGGCAAAGGGGACGGAGTCTCAAGGAGGATAAGAACGAAGTTTAACGCAGACGTGGGTGGAAGTGGTGTATGGGGACTTTTCAAATGCTGCACGTCACAGGGCAGAGCGTGACTTTGGGGTACAGGTAAGGGCCAAGGAGTGCTGTCCTCTCGAGCTGCAGTCCTGGAGGCTGCGAACCGGGGACTTCCAATCGCGAAGGCTCAAGGCCAGCCGGTTCTGAGGGCTCAGAGGCGCCAGTGCGGGCCCGGCACGTGGGGACTGGCTCCAACTGTTGGCTGTAAAGCACCCTGCCCGCGCCCGCCCTTGCGTGCTGACCCCCGGCGAGGCGCGAAGGACCCGGGACGCCAGGTTGGGAGGTCGGTCTCAGCTTTCTGACAGACGCCGCACCCGGAAATAGAAGCCGCTGGTGCTGGGGCACCGCAGCGGAGGAGAGGCGCTCCAGTCCCAAACGCGGCCCCGGGGCCGGAACTAGGAAACTCTATGACCCCACTAGCACTTCCGCTTCCGCCCCTGCTTAAATGAAAGAGGGCTCTTGGTGGGTTTTTTAGATGGGAATCTTTCGCTCGTTTGCTTTACCTAGTTTTGGCTTCCGTCATCGGTAGGAAACCCCAGCTGTGAGCCTCTGCAGAGGTCTTTTTGTTGTTTGGAGGGCCGACATCAGGCGCCAGAGCTCGGTCCCGCGATTGATCGAGTTAGGGTCGGAGGGAGAAAGGGCATGTGGGCATGGAAAGGCTCTCTGTAGTGCGGCAGGGTAGAGGTTGATTTATGTCATGGAAAGCTCTGAAGCGACGTAGCCGGAGATAGAGGCTTTAACTGTATTGCTGCCAATTATAAAGACAGATGATTAGAATGAGAAAGGTTCCGGCGGTTCCTCACAACGTGGAACGACATTTCGTCCAAGCTGGTAGCTTACCCGTCTTCTACGTTTGGTTGCATTCTGGCATAACTCTAGGCACTTGCTACAGTAGATGTAAGTGCTTTCTATCTTCGTACACGGGAGAATGTGTCACATTAGGTTTACGAATACAGTGCTAAGGCGAAAGAATCCTGATGAATTCCACCCAGCATGAACTGGGGAGGCTTGAGAGAAAAGGTACTACTTTCCATGGTATACCAAAGTTAGTGCCACTTACCTTACCGTTTATAAAATGCTTTTTCATCGTTTGCAACTTTGCCTCGTTTGCATTGTTGATACAAGTTTACTGAATTTTGGTAAGAGTTAAAGTTCAACCTGTCTTCTTTCTCCAGAACTCCTGCCTCACCCCTGGGCTAAATAGCTAGAAACAGAAGGTATTGTTCACTGCTCAGAAGACCTTACTGTATGAAGATAGAGAATTGGTTTGCATATGAGAACCCTCAAAAACAACATTTGGGTTTAGTTGCATGAATAGGAAAGAAATGATATCTTCCAAGTTAACCTTGCTTATAGTTCTAAAAGGTGTTTTTTACACTACCAAAATGCCTGCTAGAGAAAGTCACGTTGATAAAGATTTTACCTGAGAGAGTTTAAGGACCAGACATATGTTTCTGTCAAGTACCTGGTACATATTAGGCGCTTGATCAATGGTAGCTGTTATATACAGACTTTTCTTAAGTGAACAGCAAAAAGAAGTTAAGAAATAACATCAACTAAAATAAGTGGAAAATTTGCTAAACACTTGGATCAATCGTGGTTCTCTGGTTAAAAGGAACAGGCTAATTTAGAGAAATTTGTTAGAAGTATATGGCGTAGCTAACAAAATAAGGAAATTCAGCTCTGAAGGAACAGAAACTACACAATTCTATTGGATGTCTCTAGCAAGATTAGCAAAGTCTCATCCAGGCAACAGTGTTGGAATGAATGAGCTTCAACAAATTTGTCACTGTACTTATTCAAATTCCTATTGACTTACCTTGGTTAGGGTTCCTCTCCACTCTCCCTGAGCCAAAAGAGGGCAAAACATCTCGGCCAATATTCCTTTAAGGATACTCAAAGTAAACAGGTTATTACATAAGAAAAAAGAAATGTAGTCAATGATTAATAAACACCTTATCACAGATTCCACTCAGATTTATAGTTTGCTTAATAGATAAGACATAAAAAGTGATTGCACTTGTATTAAAAGATATTAAGGGCCATTAGATAGGTTAATTTGGTGTGAGTCTAGTGGAAGAGGTAACTACCAGCTGTTTAGACTAGCTTGAACAGAAATCCTATGTAACCAAAGAGAATAACATTATTTCTAACCTCATACAGGGTGAGGCAAAAAGTAGCTTTACAGTTGAATATGTAAAACAGAATTTATTCATATATTATTATTACTGTATTGGGTTGGCCAAAAAGTTCGTTTAGTTTTTTCCATAGGATGGCTCTAGTAGTGCTTAGTTGTCTTTAACTTCATTTGAAACAATTTTGTTAGATCGTGTTGTGACAGCTGTCACATTAGTGAATTTTTATGTAGCTATTTTAATACTGAAGATGGAAGAAAATACACATTTTTGGCATATTTTGCTTTATTATTTCAAGAAAGGTAAAAATGCAACTGAAATGCAGAAAAAGATTTGTGCTGTGTATGAAGGTGCTGTGACTGATCGAATATGTCAAAAGTAGTTTGCGAAGTTTCTTGGTACTAGTGACAGTTTAGCCAAATAATTCTTTGCTGTGGGGCTGTCTTATGCATTGGAAGATGTTTAGCGTGCTGCACCCTGGCCTCTACCCACTAGAAGTCAATAGCGGGAGAGCCGACACACTCAAAATATCCAAATCAATAAAGTTATTGGTGAAAATGAAAAGTGTGTCTTTTTTTTAAATGGAAAAAACTAAATGGACTTTTTGGCCAATCCAATAAATAGTCTATACTATGTGCAGGTATAGTTTTAAGTGCTTAACATATACTAATTCTTTTCATCCTTATAACAATGTTGTGATTGGGTATTGCTATTTTTCCCCCATTTTATAAATGAGAAAACTGCAGAAAAAGGCGGATGGGGAAATTAGGGAAGAAGAGGTTTTGGAAATATTAGGCAATGAGGAGTTGTGGAAAGTTCTTGAGTAGGGAAGAAATATGAATCAAAGTTCTTTAAGGTTTTCCTAGTGTCATCTTCTTGACAAAATCCACCTGTCTGCTGGAACTTGTACCTAGAACCAGGTTTTTCAACCCCCTCCCATAACTCCCATTCCCTTATGATTTGCTTAATTTGGGTGGACCATAATTATAGAACTACCCATCAGTTAGCAATTTATGGTGAAGTTTGGGGAACAGGTCAAGACCAGAGGTAGAGATATATTGGAGTCCTATGCGTAGGAAAGACAATCGAACCCACAGTACTGCTAAAGGAATAGTATAAAGAAAATGTTTAAGTATAGAATAAAAAATACATATATCTTACTATTCTCTCCCTCAATACCGTCCTATATTATTTCTCTTTTCAGCCATACTTTCGGAGTTATCTGTAACTCCTGATTTCATTTCCAGTCAATTCATCATCAGACTTCTGCATTGTGGCTTTTGCCTTCATTGTGGCTTTTGACAGCAATGCTATCAAAGACCGTTGTGTTCCTAAATCCTTGGACACTTTCCTGCTTTTTCTCCTTATCTCTATGGCAGTTGATATTATTGACTACTCACTTATACATTTATTAATTCAACATATTTTGCGGAGGGGGGCTAGACCTCAGAAATAGAAAAGTGAACAGATGGATATAGTTCCTACTTTTATGGAACTCTGAAAGCATCCTGAAACATAACATCCTGCTTTTTCTTTTACTTCTCTTATTACTCCTTCTTGGTCCCTTTTGAATTTTGGTTTCCTCAGCTTCTGCCCCAGGCTCGCTATCTTCACATTTTCAAAAAAAAGTTATTTGAAAGCAGTTGCTTTAGGTTCACAGTAAAATTGAGAGGAAGGTCTAGGCTGTGGTTAGCAAAAGGAAGGAACTTTTGCGTAAGCACACTTATTACTTGCTAGGACTTTATCCCATCTAAGTTTCACAAACCGAAGAGAGATACACGTACTGTAAGTCATTTGAGACCTCATTTCGCAGATAGGAAGACTGAAGTTGAGGAGACCTTAGGTAACTTTACTAGTCACTTTGAAGGCAGGAATTTGAACTCAGACCTGATGCCATCCCAGCCTTTTTCCTTGCACCACTCTCTTGTCCCACAGCCGGTGTAGAGACCTGGGCAGGATCACCTTTTTCCACACTCCTGAGTTGGCCCGGGAAATTAGCTGAGCTGTTTTTTCTTTAAGAAAAGAACAGAATATCCCAGTAAGGTTTTTGCACTTCTATTCGAGGAAACACATCCAGAGAGTATCAACTTGTTTAATATATCCCTTGCGATAGTTGCTAAACATCGTTGGAGACGCCCGTAGCCGGTTTCTCCCCAATCAGGCAAAAAGTCTGTGCATCTCCAAGGCGACGGCGATCACCGCCTTTTGTTTCTCCCGCGCGCCCAGATGGCGTCATTTGGCGAGCGTCTCTGACGTTAGTGTTTCCTGTCCACCATCTTTGTCCCTGGCAAAGTGGGTTTTGCGCAGTGGTTTAGACCTGGAAAAGGAGTCGTGACGTGCAGGAAACCATTACAACACCACTCGGGCCGTGCTCTCTGGCTGCTACCGCCACCCCCGCCCTTGCCTCCGGTGAGTTCAGGGCGGCTAACTTTGGGGTGTGTCCCTCGTTGCTGCTCTGGAGCGGTGTTAGGGGGGTGCCTTTGGTTGGGTTGGAGACTGGCGGAGGATAGGGAACCTAGGAGCGTGACCGTTGAGGATGCAGTGAGCCGTCGGGTGTGACCGTTGTGAGGAAGAGGGCTGGAGAAAGGGACTCTCCGCTGTGGCGGGGTGAGGGAATCCTCGGGTGTGGCGGCTGGGAACTGGGAAGCACCGGCGGGTACGTAGTTCGAAGTTGCGTGGTTGGGAACGCCAAAGGCCAGGGGTGTGGCCGCTAGAGGCTGGAGGCCGAGGGGAGAACCAGCCTTCGCCGCTTGGGGTGGTTCACTGAGAGCCTGGGACGTCCAGCCAGCAAAAGGGGAAAAGGGGTTCCCCCCAGCGGTTTGCCCGGCTCCCTTAGTTAGAGGTTGCGAGACACCTCTCCCCAACCGCCTGATGGAGGGACAAATCCCTACAATGCTGACCATCTGGGTGAAAGAACAGGAATTCTAACACTTACGGGAAGAAAAACCTTTAGAACTGATCCGATGTGAAAGAGGGGGAAGGGGGGGTACATCTTAGCTCGGAACGTTTTCAATTTGGATTTAGCAAGAATGATCTGGTTTGATAAAGACTGTTGATTAAGCCAGAGGCAAAGAAACTGGAACTTCCTGTTACCTCTAAATCCTTTGAATCCAAAGAATTTATTCACGCTGTTTTCATAGTAGTCTTCTATTTGGGGCTTTTACGGAACACACTT